GATGTGCAGGTTAGGGTGGATTGGCCGTGCTAAATTGCCCCATAGTGTCCAGGGATGTGCAGGTTAGGGTGGATTGGCCATGCTAAATTGCCCAATAGTGCCGAGGGATGTGCAGGTTAGGGTGGATTGGCCGTGCTAAATTACCCCATACTGTCCAGGGATGTGCAGGTTAGGGTGGATTGGCCGTGCTAAATTGTCCCATAGTGCCCAGGGATGTGCGGGTTAGGGTGGATGGCCGTGCTAAATTGTCCCATAGTGCCCAGGGATGTGCAGGTTAGGGTGGATTGGCCGTGCTAAATTACCCCAGAGTGCCCAGGGATGTGCAGGTTAGGGTGGATTGGCCGTGCTAAATTGTCCCATAGTGCCCAGGGATGTGCATGTTAGGGTGGATTGGCCATGCTAAATTGTCCCATAGTGCCCAGGGATGTGCAGGTTAGGTGCATTACCCATGGAAAATGCAGGATTACAGGGATAGAGTAAGTGGGTGAGTCCGGGTGGGATGCTCTTCGGAAGTCGATGTGGACTTGTTGGGCCGAATGGCCTGTTTCCACACTTAAGGGATTCTATGAAATGTGAGATGTTGCATTTTGGAAAGGCATATCAGGTAGGACTTATACACTTAATGGTAAGGTCCTGAGGAGCGTTGCCGAAAAAAGAGACCTTGGGGTGCAGATTCATAGTTCCTTGAAAATGGAGTTGCAGGTAGATAGGGTAGTGAAGAAGGCGTTTGGTACGCTTGCCTTTATTGGTCAGTGCATTGAGTATGGGAGTTGGGAGGGTCATGTTGCAGCTGTACAGGACATTGATTAGGCCACTTTTGGAATACTGTATTCAATTCTGGTCTTTCTGTTATAGGAAAGATGTTGTTAAATGTGAAAGACTGCAGAAAAGATTTACAAGGATGTTTCCAGGGTTAGAGGGTTTGAGGTATAGGGAGAGGCTAAATAGGCTGGGGCTGTTTTCCTTGGAGCATCTGACCCTGAGGGATGACTTTATAGAAGTTAATAAAATCATGAGGGGCATGCCTAGGCTGTACAGTCAAGGTGTTTTCCCCAGGGTGGGGGAGTCCAAAACTAGAGGGCATAGGTTTAAGGTGAGAGGAAACAGATTTAAAGGGAACCTGAGGGGCAACTTTTTCACGCAGAGGGTGATGCATATATGAAATGAGCTGCCAGAGGAAGTGGTGGGGGCTGGTACAATGACAACTTTTAAAAGGCATCTGGATGAGTACATGAATAGGAAGGGTTCAGAGGGTTACAGGCCAAATGCTGGCAAATGGGACTACATTAGTTTAGGATATCTGGTCAGCACGGACGAGTTGGACCGAAAGGTCTGTTTCCGTGCTGTACATCTCTATGGCTCTATGAAAACATTGTCAAGGCTGGAGGCTGGCATTGTATTGACAGTGGTGGTGTTGGCGCAGTCTGTACTGTATGATTCTGTTCTATGATTCTCTGAAGAGATAATGATTGTAGGTAGGCAGATGGAGATCAGCTGTGATTCCAATTGAACAGAGGAACAGGATCGATGGTTGACTGGCCTCTTTGCATGTTTTCTGAGGGGTTCTGATCACATGCAGAAGACTGACTCCTATGAAGTCTCGACCAAACTTTATCTATCAACTGACCTCACCGACCAGAGGCGTGCTGCAGTGCAGGCATAGGGTCGTTGCATAGGGTGAGCAAGGTTTAAAAACTAAGGGACCACAACTAAGAGAGAGTCATTAATAAATCCAGTTCAATTCTTCAGCCTGAGGGTTGGCAGAACGTGGAACCTGCTCACAAAGGGAGTGGGATATCTTTATGGGGAAGGTAGGATAAACACACATGGCAGAAAGGAATTGAGGATAGAGTGAATGGGAACGATGAAGAGGCAGGCGGGAGGAATCTCGTGTGGTACATTAACATCAATAATGGACTCCGATGGGCCGAATGGCCTGTTCTAAAAAATTTTCTCATGGATGTACGCATCGCTGAATGGACCAGCATTTATTGCCCATTCCTAGTTGCCTTGAGAACATGGTGTTGAGCTGCTTTCTTGAACCGCTGCAATCAGAGTGCTTGTAGATAGACCCATCATGCCCTCAGGGAGGGAATTCCAGGATTTTGATCCGGTGACACTGAAGGAACAGCTGATCTATTTTCAAGCCAGGCTGATGAGTGGCTCAGAAAGCAACTTGCAACTTCCCATGCATCTGCTGCTTTCGTCCTTCCAGATGATCATGGTCATGGGTTTAAAAGGTCTAAAGATCTTTGGTGAATTTCTGCAGTGCATCTTGTAGATGGTACACACTGCTGCTACTGAGCGTCGTGGGGGAGGGAGTGGGACGTTTGTGGATGTGGTGCCCGTCGAGCGGGGGGCTGCTTTGTCCTGGATGGTGTCGAGCTTCCTGAGTGTTGTTGGAGCTGCCCCCATCCAGGGGCAACTGGCTTGTAGATAGTGGACAGGCTTTGGGTAGTCAAGAAGTGAGTTGCTCACTGTAAGATTCCTAGCCTCAAAACCACGCTTGTAGCCCATAGCTGGTCAGGTTGAGTTTCTGGTCAGTGATAAGCCCCGAATAGCGGGGGATGCAGTGATGGGTAACGCCATTGAATGTCAAGGGGCGGTGGTTAGATTGTCTCGAATTGGTGATGTCCATTGCCTGGCATTTTCCTGGCGTGACTGTTTCCACGCTGTAGATCAGTCTTGCCTCTGGTTTCTGCTGAGGGCTGATTCAGGGGCATGTTTGCAGCATTATATAAATTGGGAATATTTTCAGAGCTATGGCGGGGGAAATCAGCTGGAGAGTGGGACTAATCGCTGAGCCCGTATAGAAAGAAGTCACTGCCCTGCTGGCTGTGAAACACACCCGGAGGTGCTGGATAGGGGTGACGTTGGGAGGGTACACTGGCAAGTCTTTCCTAAACTATTATTTTCTCGCTTGTTTCCAGGTTACGGGCACAGTGTCCCCTTCACCAACGGAGGGAAAGTCTTCTGTATGTTGTACTCGGTGCTGGGAATCCCCATGACCCTTCTGCTCCTCACCGGCCTGGTGCAGCACCTCATGTATTATGTGCACTGGGTGCCCATCGCTTATATCCACACCCACTGGCGTTTGCCGATGCCTGTGGTGGCACGGATTCATGCCCTCGTGATTGGGAGCATCGTGGCCACCTGCTTCTTCCTGATCCCGGCGGCAGCGTTCATGGCTCTGGAGAAGGGCTGGGATTACACTGAATCTCTCTACTTCTGCTTCATCTCTCTCAGCACCATCGGCCTGGGGGACTACGTCCCAGGGAAGTCCCGCTACCCCAGCCTCCAGCACCTCTACAAGGTCGGCATTGCATGTGAGTCGTCCCGGAAGTTGTTCGGCAGGGGTGTGGGGGAGTCTCTTCGTTTTAGAGTCATAGAGGCACAGAAACAGACCCTTCTGGTCCAGCCGACCAGATATCCTAAATTAATCTAGTGCCATTTGCCAGCATTTTGCCCATTATCCCTTTAAAACCTCCCTAATCACACACCCATCCTGATGCCTTTTTAGATGTTGTAATTGTACCAGCTTCCACCACTTCCTCTGGAAGCTCATTCCATACACGCACCACCCTCTGTGTGAAAAAGTCACCCCTTAGGTCCCTTTTAAATCTTTCCCCTCTCAGCTTAGAGGCATGGTGACCCTTAGGTTAAACTCATCACTGGTTTTGTCTCTCTCTCTCTCTCTCTAATGAGACAGTGCAACTATGGTGACTTGACCTTAAATAATAAATATTTTGCCCTTCCCTTTATCAGCTTACGCGGCCAACAAAATCCCCACTGACCAGCTCTCCCACACGCTGGTTTTCTGAAACATACACAGAGAATGCTAGAGAAACTCAGCAGGTCTGGCAGCTTCTGTGGAGAGAGTGAAACAGTTAATGTTTTGAGTCCAATACGATTGAAGATGATCTGCAGTATTTTGCTTTTACTCGAGAGGCTGAATTTCTGAGCCTGGGAGCTTTCAGTTTAAATCCTGTCAGTGTGAATGAATTCACATTATCCCATGTCATACTGCATTTGGCTCATTCAACCCGTCTCCTTACAGACTATCTACCTCACCTTGATCACTTCCTCTTCTCCCTGTCTTGGTGTCATTGGTAAATTTAGCCTTTGTACCAGAGTCATTGATTTTGATTGTAAATAGTTGAGGCCCCAAACATTGATCCACTTGGCACTTCGCCAGTGACAGACAGTCCACTCCAAAAGTCCTTATTATCTGCTTCCCATTCACTAGCTGGTGCTTTCTCTGAGCTAATATGTTACCTCTTACTCCAGGTGATCATAACATGTGCCCCAACCATTGTTTTTCGTACCTTGGCAAACGCATTTTGGAAATCTAAGTACTTAGAATGATAGAATCCCCACAGTGCAGAAAGAGGCCATTCTGCCCATCGAGTCTGTACTGACCCTCCAAAGAGCACCCCATCCAGGATCCACCCCCCCACCCTGCCAACCCTATCCCTGTAACTGCAGATTTAGCGTGGCCAATCCACCCTAACCTGTGCATCTTTGGACTGCGGGAGGAAACCGGAGCACCCGGAGGAAACCCCACGCAGACACGGGGAGAAGATACAAACTCCACACAGTCAGACTGCCACCCGCGGGTGGAATCGAACCCAGGACTCTGGCGTTGTGAGGCAGCAGTGCTGACTTGACTCCACCTGATTGCATCATGTTCTTTCCTGTACATCACTCCTGAGTCTAATGTCCTGCTATAACCTTCTTCACAATGAAGAGTAGCAATTTCCACACGGGGGAAGTTAGCCTAACTGGCCTAAAGATTGAATCAGAGATAGTAGGAACTGCAGATGCTGGAGAATCCGAGACAACAAGGTGCAGGGCTGGATGAACACAGCAGGTCAAGCAGCATCATAGGAGCAGAGAGGCTGACGTTTCGGGCCTAGACCCTTCATCAGAAAAGGGGGAGGGGAAGGGGGTTTTGAAATAAATAGGGAGAGAGTGGGAGGCGGATAGAAGATGGATAGAGGAGAGGATAGGTGGAGAGGAAACAAACAGGTCGAAGAGGCGGGGATGGAGCCAGTAAAGGTGAGTGTAGGTAGGGCGTTAGGAAGGGGATAGGTCAGTCCAGGGAGGACGGACAGGTCAAGGGGGCGGGATGAGGTTGGTTGGTAGGAGATGGAGGTGCGTCTTGAGGTGGGAGGAGGGGATAGGTGGGAGGAAGAACAGGTTAGGGAGGCCTAAAGATTACTTACTGCTTTGTCTCTCCCTCCTCACTCAAATAAAGGTGTTACGTTTATTATTTTCCAGTCATCTGGGATACTCCTCAGGTAGTTCAGTCTTCTGTTCACAGCCCCAAAGGGGATAACTCACATGTGAAAATATCGTCGCTGCTACCCCAGCCAGGAGACCCTCTAGCACAGTGGGTTTGAGGGACTAATTATTTGCAGAAATAGGATAACAAATTGCTCATTGTTTGAACTAAACAACACCTCGGCTTAGTTTTACATTTTTGTGAATGTGCACAGATGGGTGTTCCTCAAATGTAAACCCTTTTGTTTTGGAATCCTTTCCCTGGTAAGCTTATTAACATCCTCGAAATGGAACTTTAAAAAGCTTAAAATGAGGCCTTCATTCCTTTTGGGTGAAGGGTGGGGGTGGGGGGGAGGTGTGGTTTGTGGGCCAGGGAATTCAATCGTAAGGGAAAGAGCATTATTTATGTGAAACTGCCTCATATCTTCACCAAATGATTTGAAGTGTAGTGAGATCAGTTTCAGGGGCAGGGTGTACTTTTGTTTAGGCGGATGGGGGGGCGGGGGGGGTGACCCAATCAGGACACAGCAAGATCCCGGGCCGCACTAATTCACTTGACATTGAACAAGGGAGGACTTTTGTCTCAGCCACTGGAAGAACTTCCACTTTTAATTCCAATAGACTTTTACTCTGTGCCTATCCTCATGCTGTCCCTGTCCTCGGAGTGTTTGATGGGGGACAGTGTAGAGAGAGCTTTACTCTGTATCTAACCCCATGCTGTCCCTGTCCTGGGAGTGTTTGATGGGGCACAGTGTAGAGAGAGCTTTACTCTGTATCTAACCCCGTGCTGTCCCTGTCCTGGGAGTGTTTGATGAGGGACAGTGTAGAGAGAGCTTTACTCTGTATCTAATCCCGTGCTGTCCCTGTCCTGGGAGTGTTTGATGGGGGAGAGTGTAGAAGGAGTTTTACTCTGTATCTAACCCTGTGAGGACCCTGTCCAGGGATTGTTTGATGAGGACAGTACGGAGGAAGCCTGAATTTCAGTTAGAAGAGTACAGGGCGCTTTACTCTGGTTCTCACGCTCTACTCTGTGTGGTACTTGTCCTGTTTAGACAGTGGCCGGCAGGGTTAACCAGAACGATGTTGCCTTACTGACAGTGTGCCTTTGCCCGTGTGCAGGTTACCTGGTGATCGGACTGGTCGCTCTGCTGGTGGTTCTCCAGACTGTCTACGAACTCCAGGAGCTGCAACATTTTGTCAAACTCATCATGGGCCAACCGGACAAGGAGAGTCAACTGCACATCACTGAGCAGGAGGTGGCCATCACCAGCTCGAACCTAGACACCACGGATTGCAATGAAAATGCCAGCGAGGGTGGCAAAGAGGACAGGGACCCCAAGAAGACATCTGATCCCTCCCCGGAGCAATGACCTCCGAGCCAGACCACTGCACACCATTCAATCAACCAGACATCTTCAACTCCCTCACATGCACGGCAAAGCCAAGAAGAGATAGCTGAGAGGATGGGTACAGACAGACAGTCCCAATGGTACTACACCAGGAAACAGAGCTTCAGTTGAACCCCACGAGTTCTCTTACTGTTCTGTACAGGGGCATCTTCTGGCAAGTGTACATGCCCCGTTTTACATACACAATGTTACAGTCTTTTTTTTTTGGAAGTTCAATATTGTATGAAATTATAAATATATAAATAATAAAGATAACCGTGAGTTGCTTGGATGCTGCTTCATGGTCCTAACGATTACTAATAGGACCCTCTCTTTTGGATTCAATCCTCCAATATTTATACCCGCCACAGCCATTCTACTGATGTTAATCCCTCTCCCTCACACTGTCACTCAGTAATCCC